ATGCACCCATTTGTCTTCAGTGATCCCTTCGACACCTCGTGATCACACAGGCTGATATGTTGTTCCATGTGGGCTTTGTTGCTTCTGAGCTAGATGGCCGATTGTTTACCTTCAAGCTTTTAAGACCCCAGACGCTATATCTTTTGATAGCCACCTCTTACATGGTTTCTCTTCCCTGTATATGTGTCTCTCTTTTCATGTCTGTTTTTCTTTTTTAAAGACACCATTTAGAAGGGGTGAGGTCATGAAATCATTAACATAATAAAAGAAAAGTAATTGCCACAGGGGGTCACATTCGCAGGTATTTCAACATATTGTAGTGAGGAACACAATTAAAACTGTAATACTAACATTTATTGAACTTCTGCTCTGTGCTAGGAATTGTTCCAAGTATTTAATGCATATGAATTTGTTGAAATGTTACACTCTATCTGGTAAGTAGGGTTGTTGGGTCAGCATTAGACCGCTAAGTGCAAGGCCAGTGGTTCAAACCCACCAGGTGTCTGCTTCCATAAAGGTTTACAGCTTCGGAAACCTTATGCCAGGTTTCGTGAATTGGAACCTACTAGATGGCAGTGGGTTTAATAGGTATGAGGTAGTTAATAGTATTATCCCAATTTTACAAATAAAAAACTGAGTATAAGAATAAGGGAAACTTCGTTTAAATGAAATTTCTTCTATTCATGGGCTTGGTAACTCTTGCGGAATGCCTGGGTGGGAGTATGAAAATAAGGTGTGGAGAACTCTAAAGGAGGATTGGTCAGTTTTCCTATTCCACTGAACAGAAAGTGAGCCATCTCAGCAGCAGGCACAGAGAATCCCATGAGCACCAAGACAGAGGAGTCCAGGGTGAAGGGCTACGGAGATTCCTGTAGGGAGGAGCAGCAGAGGAGCAGCACTGAGACCAGGAGACAGAGCAGAGGGCTTCCTTCTCCACTGAACAGTGTAACTGAGCGCCGCTGGGCATTAACAATACTGAATAAACTTTGTGACACGTGGTTGAGCAGCACAGAAGCTAAGAGACCAAATGGACCAGAGAGAGCCACGAGGGCTTGACAGCATGGCGGAGGTGGTCTGGACAAAAGAACTGTATGTGTAACATTTTATAGCCTAATAAAGTCCTTACTTGTGAGTACGACCTATGAATTCGGTGTGGCCGTTGCTATGTTATTGAACCCAGCAGAGAAGTAAGAGAGTCTCAGGAGGAACAGTTGGTGTCAGAACTGGGTACAACAGGTTGGAGAGTAGAAGCATGTCTGACGTCATCGAAATCAGTCTTGGGCTGGTGAGGAGTTAGATCCGCCTTCTCTCGAGGAAGGCAGAGCGGGTCAGATGTGGCCATGGGACCGTCTCCACAGGAACGAAGAGCGGCAGTGAGATCTCACA